GAATCCATTGGGGCGGAATCATGGATGTACACTGCTGAGGAGTCCCACAATAGGACGAAACGTCCGTCCAGTGCTTCCAGGTTTTCTATGGTGGTCTAGCTTCAATTGACTCATGATCTCAACCATTGAAATTGCTATAATATCCACAAAAACCCCTTCTGATACGTTTAAATCATACCGATCATAATTTGTCAATATAACGTTGATAATTATTTCCGAAGCTATTCACTAAAGGCGAAACCTTAATTAATAAACATTATTATTATTAAATTAATTCAAATAGCTAGAAAATGGATTTCTTTTTTCGAAAAAAACTATTTATAGCGTACACTAGTTATATCAGCATTATTTCCCACACCTACGCGGCTTTTCACTGAACAGAAATTTCCTTAATAAATTTCGTTGATAACATCTAACAGATAGTTAATTACATATATATATTATATGTATTTCCATTAAATTTCCTTCAAACTCAATGTATTATCTAATAAGTAATTAATCAGTGTTATGTAATGACATAAATTGTAAACGTAGTGAGCGTAGTATTATGGTTTTCGCTCCTGATGTCGATAGATATAAGTAATACGTATCATCAATCGAAAGTGAAATGTCTGATGGTAGAAGGTTAAGAAGATTGAAGAGAAGAGAAAGAGAACCTTGAATGATTGCTGTGGTAACGAAGGAACAATGAAGTCTGAGATAACTGATTGACATTTTGCATATGAAATATTTACTATATGGTTCTCAGATTTTACTAATGGATTCAGTAATTTTGTATTCAAATACATTTGATTGTCCCCATTTGTGTTCTCGTTCACTACAGTATCGGTCAATATTTTATATGAGCAAAAGGACACATTTGAATTATTAAAAAAAAAACAACTCACAATTCGTAATTATTGAAAATCTCATGAATAAAAGGTAATTGAAACATAAACTTTAGAACAAAATGAAACGGTGCAATCGTTTGATGACTATCTACAATTTCCTTCTAAATGATATGAACAATTAGAAATCATTCATGTCAAATTGTTTACGTGGTATATTTAGCTAATCTGGTAACATGTATTGTTCATCAACAGTTTTTATTATGATGAATCAAAATGATTATTCATCTTCAGCGAAGGAATCTCTTTTCAATGAATTTATTATCAAACTTCGCATATATATATATATATATATATATATATATATATATATATATATATATATATATATATATATATATATATATATATATATATATATATATGAATCTTGTTAATGTACTAGTTCCGTGAAGAATTGTGAACAAGGAATAACCAAGATGATGTAATGGAAGGAATATAATAGTAGGTTACATAATATGAATAATAACAATAGACTTAATAAGTTAGTAACGAATTATAGCGTGTATGTAGTGAGATGATTAAAGGTCATAGAGGTATAAAAGATAAGTAAATTGATATCGTGAGCAATTATGAGTAAAATAATGAGAATATGAGACATAAGTGAAGGGGGAAAGTAGTAGTAATAATAATAAGAGCCAATGTAACGATAACGATAGGACGTACTTCTTTTGTATGAATAGTTCTGGTTTGAATTCATGCATGGTAAGAGCTTTGGATATTTTGGGATTTGGATACTAAGAGATCTAGGTAAACGTGGACGAATTGTATATACAACGTAATAATCGTTACCAACTTATGAAGTCTATTCTTATTATTCGTGTTACGTAATCTAGTATTATAATCTTTCTATTACATCATATTGGTTATTTCTTGTTTACACTTCCTCATGGAAATAGTACTTTAACAAAACATTTTCATATATATATATACAGTTGTGCAACTTGATAATAAATCCGTTGAAAAGAGATCCTAGTGTTGTTCTACAAGGGTGAGAGGAAAGCAGTTAGGAGTTCCATACTTGAACATCTAATCGACCGTAATCATTCTATTGATCCACAGTTTGATTTTATGTTTGTATATACTATTCATCCAAATCTACCTAGATTTCTTCGTATCGAACTTCCAAAATAGCCGAAGCTCTTACTACCCATGAGCTAAAATCGGAACTATGCATACAAAAGAAGTACGCCCTATCGTTGTCGTTACCTCGGCCATACTTATTATCGTTACTGCATTTTTCCCTTTACTTATGTTTTATATCCTCATTAAATTCATCCTATTTTGATATAATTTTAAGGAATGAAATGGAAATTTGATTTTTATTTACTGTCAAGAAACTTGTATCTTAATTCTTCCCCGTTTCATTGATGCATACAATATACGGTTCATATTGTGAATATTCATTCTTTTCATAACTAACCTCTGTATGACTAATAAACGTATAATCATGTTCATTCAGCCAATCACATTTGTTTTTATTCTGTACATAGTCAGTTCATTTGTTCTTATTTGAATGAATGCATGTTGAAACCTTAGGATATCCATGCATAAAAACTTTACATTGACAACTACATTGTAATGAATAATAATAATAATAATAATAATAATTCCAGTATAATTGATATCAGATTAATAGTGAAACATACAAAGTGAATTTCATCCTGTTTGGGACTCGTTATCTAACTATACCTATGTCCTGTTGTTTATGTTTACATTAAGATTCGAACACTATACCTTTTACCTTAGAAGCCAACACGTTATCCCATTGAGCTACTGAATTCAGATACCCACTAAATTTTTCAAGAGTTATCGAGATATTAACAATAGTTTGTAATTTCTCATAGTTTACAGTCAGAACTGTAAATAATCAGTTAGCTTAAGCTAAATGCTTTCATCATAGTGTATTATATCACAACCATTAGCATACTCAGTCTATCACTACGGATGGAATTCAGTTGATGATTTCCAAATAAAACAAAAATATGTCCTAAATTATTTATTAATTATAGAATACTAAGTAACAATGAGAAATCAAATATTTCTTGCCCCCCCCCCCGGTTTCCATCAATACTTCAAATATTATTCGTATGTAATTTTCAAATAGACATCTGTGAAGCAGATGGTAACTTAACTGTTTCACAATGTCCACAACAAAAGTTTGATATTTTATCGATAAGAGTTTGATTGGCTTAACTAAAAAAACAAAAGAATCTTCCTAGATATGGACATTTTCTAAAAGTGACAAATATATAAGAAATAAATATCACTTAATTTAATGGTTGAATTCATGAGTCAATTGAAGTTAGACAACCATGAAAAATCTGGAAGCACTGGATGGCCATTTCGTCCTAGTATGGGACTACTTAGCGGCACGTATTCATGATCCTACCTAGCGAGATTTGAACCTAGGATCTATAAATTTTCCAATTCTTCCTATCAGTACTTCCAGGTTTTCCATGATGGTCTAGTTTCAGTTAAGTCATGAATTCAACTATTAAATATCACTTATTTATAATAGTGTTTTTTTTAGTGAACTGTATTTAGTTAGATAACCAGTTAATAGTTATTTTATGTATATTAATAATTATAACATTATGGACTAAACACAAAACTTGTTCTTCTTGGTAGTTCCACAGTCATGAATTGAGAAGTTATCGTTATTATTAATAGTAGCATCCTTAGTACTATTATTATCGATTAGCTTTATTCAATATCATATATTAGTACAATATAGAATTCTCAGCACAAGGTGCTTCAATAAGTTTCTTTTACAAAACAAAGGAAGGTGAAATAAACTTATAACTGCAAACATGTACATACATTAAATGTATAAACTAACTGGAAATAAATGAAGTCTTTTAAAAAAAAAGAAGATTTGAATGTGTATGACGTCTTAGTTATAAACATATTCAATAATACATGTTATTGACTAGGTCAACTCTAACAACCTGTTCGTCATATAATATATTTGTCAGATAAGATATTGTAGAGCATTTATACCTTGGCTTGCCTGCATGGATTCTACCAGAAGATATAAAAGGAGATAGATATGAATAAAGTGGATAGATAACACCTGCCGGAAGTTTGCAAGACTTTAGATGTCTAGCCGTATATTATTAATGACCTGAAAAGATTCCCTACACACTCTGTTAACTCCCTTCAGTACTCTCCACATTACAGCAAAGTCATTTCTTAAAAGTCCGGGAATGAATAATGGAGAACAATAAAGAATAATAGATAATATGCAAGAATTGACAAATTATGAAAATAAATGTTGATTAATCCCAAAGGCATGAAGCCTCTTTATGTAGTAAGTCAGACGGGAAAATTTCTTCAGTAACAATAAAACATGAGAAGACCAAGAAAGATCAGAGGAAAAATTTACTCAAATGTAATTGACCTTCAACAATTTGTTTATCAAAGAATCTTCAGTGATACAAGCATTCTGGGATTGCAATAGAGTGCCTAAGTGCTGTTTATGTTTCAGGCTAAAGTTAACAGTTCGATATTTAGATGGGTTAATTGCGAGACCATTAACAACAGACCAATATTCAATACAAGACAAGGACTCATCCAAGAATTCAACTATTAAATTTAGATGTTTGTAAACTCAGTGAACCAACATTGAAATCCTGGAATCTGAATATTTAAGAAGTAACTGGAAAAAGTGATACTTATGCAAGTGACTTTTGTATTTATCAGTAGAAATGGATTACACTGTTTGATAACATTACAGAATACTTTGACTTTTTAAAGTGAGATGAAAACTAAGACACTTGGAAATTGTGCAACAAAGTGATAACTACTCATGAGTAGCATAATTATCTAACACAAACGTGACACCAACTAGTAGTTAACACCACGTAATGATCATTGTTAAACAACCTTTGGAAATGAGAAAATAACTGAACAGATGTTTGATCCTATGATTGAAATCATCGGCAGTGTACATCCATAGCGGCAGTGAAGATGAAACTTGGAACTTTGATCTCACAGATTGCACTTAACCTCTAGGCTTATAATTTACATAGTTACACAGAGTAATTTCAAATAATTTATTAAACAGTAACTAGTTTACTTTTACGAATTTTTTTCTGTTTTATTTTTCAGATCAGCTACCTCGTTAGGGTAAGTTTCCTTTAAAATAACCCAGTATCAATAGTCTACTAATATAAGTCAACTGTTTTGTATAGTTAATAAAAAGGGAAATGGAATTAGGATCAAGAAAGGATAAGAGGTTGAACGTATCATTATTGCAGACAAACTTTCTTTGAATGTGTAGATCCCCAATTCAATATAATTACTCAAATTTCAGTTTTTTTAGACTTATCTAAGTTTGCATGTGGTAAAGAATATAGTACATTGTCCAATAACAATACAATGACATATAGCATTAAGGCAAAGGGAATAGACTGCTATAAATTAAGTAAAGAGGCCTCTACTACAATTATTTCTTTGACACCAATCAGGATCACGCTATTACTAAGATCGTTAGTTCAAATAATTTGATATTTGTTTTGTCTATATATATATAGCAGTGAACGTTTGGACACAATTTTATTGTGAGCCAAATACCTAAACAAGGAGCTATGTTAATAGCTAAATACAATCCCTTTTATCTGAATGATTGGATTATTGGTTAAAGCCTTAATAATAAGTTTGTATACGAAAGTTGTAATATTATTGTTCAAATTGATAATATTTCTGATTAAAACAGAGCATATAATTTTGGTGAGTGTTTACTTACGCCTGTTACTCCTAGTGGAGGAGCATTGGCCGCCAACCAGCACTTGCCATCCAATCCCGTTCTGGACAATCCTTTCCAGCTCCTTCCAGTTCCTATTCATCCATTTCATATCTGCTTCTATTTCCCGACGTAATGTGTTCTTTGGCCTTCATCTTACCCGCTTCCATTCGGGATTCCAAGTTATGGCTTGCCTCGTGATGCAGTTTGATTTTCAGTTTGTTTTCAGCGTAGACTCTACTAATATCAATATATATAACACTTAAGTATTAAAATAAACTAAACACTCATTGGTAAGCAGGGGCCGCATTCCTAGAATTGAAGAATGTATGGAACTCAAAACAACTTTCAACCAATATCAAAGTCAGAATCTTCAATACGAACATCAAGGCAGTCATTTCTACTGTACGGAGCTGAAAATTGGAGAACTACAACAACCACCATCAAGAAGGTACAAGTATTTATAAATAGCTGTCTACGCAAGATACTCAACATACATTGGCCGGATACCATCAACAACAGCCTTCTGTGGGAGAGAACAAACCAACTTCCAGCTGAAGAAGAAATCGGGAAAAGACGATGGAAATGGATAGGACATACATTAGGCAAATTATCAAACTGCATCACGAGGCAAGCCATAACTTGGAATCCTGAAGGGAAACAGAAAAGAGGAAGGCCAAAGATTACATTAGGTCGGGAAATAAAAGCAGATATGAAATGGATGAATAGGAACTGGAAGGAGCTGGAAAGGATTGTCCAGGACGGGATTGGACGGCAAGTGCTGGTTGGCGGCCAATGCTCCTCCACTAGGAGTAACAGGCGTAAGTAAGTAAGAATATGATCTAAATGATGATCTTGAAACAGATAGTTACACGATTATTAATCTTATGATTATTGGTTTTAATAAATAATACTGTCATTCAGTCTTATAAAATAAAATAAATTTCATAAATAAGTTGCGTTACTATAGCGTTGTATCTTTATTATTGTTGAGAATGTATGAACATGTATGCTTGAGCATTCCTTACAACTTAGCATATATTCATCCTGCCAGCCTTACTATTAGTTGTTTAATTGATTATATATATATATATATATATATATATATATATATATATATATATATATACTCGGCTCACTGACTCACTTATTCTCCTTTCCGCTTTGTGGTTTGAGCTATCTGCTAATAAAACTGTAGTCTCTGATTCTCTTTGCCTTTTGATTTCAAACACCTTTGAGGTTTGTCTAATAACGTTTACGAGGATGATTGATTAACAACGCATAGCCACTACATTACTTTAACTAAGGCATAAACTATCGAATAACAATAGAAATGTCACTGTCCTCCATATTTATTTAACATGATTGATTTTAACCTCTCTTTTTTTGGTATTCACATTTTTTTTCCAGACGAATTGGTACAAGTACATCAGCAAAGAATTTAAATACTATAAAGTCGTTACGTGTACTACGTGTTCTTAGACCATTGAAAACAATCAATCGTGTGCCAAAATTAAAAGTTAGTTTGTAAATCTTAATATTTTCTTATACGATTTCATGTAGCAGTAAAATGGAAAAGTTTTTTTGATGGATAGTTAGTTTATGTAGAATTAATAAATTTGATAGGTAACTTTGATTTCATTCAAGGATTATTCAGAACAATGATGATTTGTATATTTTTTTCCTCTATTCAGTCATTCTTTCACTTTTAAACATCTATCACTAACTATGTCTGAGATGGTTTGTCATTATTGATGGTTCAACTGTTTTCTTGAAACTCACTTTACCATTTAAGACAAATATATCTATATTTTGAGAAGGGGTTTTGTGGGGATTTTAGAAATTTCCATAGTTGAACTGATGAGTCAATTGAAGCTAGATCACTATGGAAAACCTAGAAGCACCGAACGACCGTTTCGTCCTGGTATGGGACTCCTCAGCAGTGCGCGGAACAGCCGTCCAGTGCTTCCAGGTTTTCCATGGTTGTCTAGCTTCAAATGACTCATAATTTCAACCATTGAAATATCTATATTTATTAGTGAGATTTTGGTAGCTTCCGAATTCAATGCTGTTCATAAATTTAACACAATCATTCTAGTATAATTTCCTAAGATCAAAGTATTCAATAATGACTAGTAATAAAATTAAACGGTATTTACAGCAGTCAGAAGCATTAAATCAGATGAAGTGAATATCCATTTTACCTAATCATAAGCAAATGGAAATTAACCATTATCATCTCGTAGATCTTGACTTTCCATATTCCTTCATAAATATTTGTTTTTGTACACTAATATTCAGCGTTTAGTCTGTATCACTATCGTTGATTAAACTGTTATCTCGAATTCTTAGCAGTTCAACTCCTTTATTGGTATGACAACGTCTTTTCTCACATTTTTGCTGAAATGTACATTGATGATATCTGATGATAAAACAATAGTCAATAGGAATAGAACTGGACATATAGTTGATGGATAATTCAAAGAAAAGTCAACAGTATATCAGATTATGTGAACTCTATGATTTTAATTTATGAAATGAGTTCAAATAAGTTTGTGATGTCGTTCTTAATGACTATTGGATGCTTCAAATCATATAAATCAGCATGTAACAATCTTACGATTAATTTTGATAACGGTTAATCTCTGTCACTCCTTTTCATCTGACAAACAATTTTATCGACATAGTAACAATTCGTTTATTTTTTTGTATCTACGTAAACGTGTTTATTTGAACGTATATTACAGCCTACACATATTTCTGTATAACTCGAATCTTGATTGTTTAAATACAGCTTCATGTATTATTCTCCCTCCCTCATATATATGTGCTTGTACTATAAAAACAAAGTGTACTTTGAGATGGTGGAGAAGATTTGTAGCTCAGGTGGATGATTTTGGTGGAGTTTTGTTCTCTGAGCTGAATGTTTTGGTCGTGGAGTTTTCATCGTTCTTCTGAACGACATCATCATATATGGAGAAATTCGAACACTTCACTTCTATCTGAAGTTTGTGCTGATGATGTCGTTCAGAAAAACGATGAATGCTCCACGACCAAACCATCCAACTCAGAGAACAAAACTTCACCAAAAGTGTACTTTAATTCGCCGTGTCTTTATTTGATGTGACTGTAAATTTGCCTCTATATTCGCTTGCAATGATTCGTTGACCTTTTTCCCTTAAATTCGCTTGATATGTTTGTAATACTATGGTATATGAGACCAGTTAAGAAATTATAATCTTAGCTTCTTATCGCCTTCTGAATTCAATCCTGTTAGGGATGCATAAAAAATACCAATAATTATCGTGTTAAGTCGAATGGTGTACTTGGACGTTAAATGGACATTTCCTATTGGTCAATATTTATTTCACTTGTTAAATATTGTGTAAATGTTGTTTTCTATTTTATGGTACGATGTGGTTTGTTTGTTTGATATATAAACAGAGTATGTCTGAAATATAATGATTCGTATCTCAGAGGCTGTGACTTGCGTTCTGAGCTCAACTGGCTGGGATAGACAGCGAGGCAGGGCCAATCGAAACTCTAGGTCGTTCGTTACGTATTTACTTGTCACTGGATCGATCGATATAAACGCTGCTTATCAAAACCTGCAGTTCACCCGTTACAACAGATCCCGTGGGATCCCCTTTAATAACGGTTTTCAGGGTGAATATTTAACGAAACTATGCTCATTACAAAAAGTGATAATCCCAACATGTGGACACAACTCGATTTACGGTGATATAATCCAAACTTACATAATTCAACATACTGTACCCTATTAGAAATATACTATAAATTACAATTAATTGATCACTGGGTGGTGATCAATGTCATATGTGTCAAGTCCTTATTTAGTGCAGATCGAATGCTATGGACCATGTTGCAATGTGAACACCAGTCTAAGTGACGAGTGCCAAATAGCACGAAACCCAGGTCCAGGGTTTCCTATCGACTAATTCCAACTACTATCTATACTACAAATTATTTTCTTTGTAAATTTGTTCATTTACAAATTTATTAACAAGTTATTTTTGCTTTATTTATCATCTATTTCAGGCTGTATTTGATTGTGTAATCAGTTCACTTAAAAATGTTTTCAATATTCTAATCGTCTATTGGCTTTTTCAATTCATTTTCGCCGTCATTGCTGTTCAATTATTTCAGGGAAAATTTTTCTATTGTAATGATGTTTCTAAAATGACAAGAGATGATTGTCAGTGAGTATTTGAATTATTATTATTATTATTATTAATACTAGTTTTCCTCTTTCACTTAATCTAGTCTATTGCATATAATGAAGTTTTGATGTGCTACCTTCTCTTTTTACAACTTACCTACTGATTATGTATATATTTTGTTAGATGCTAGAAAATAAGATGTTGCATCATACAATATTCATACGAATATTCATAAGAGTAGACATATATGGATGAGTATCGGTACATACACAAGAATGTGAATATTCATTGTTAAAAAATAACATTGATTTAAAATGTACTTTAGCCTTTCAGAAATTATGTTTTTTATCCCTCTCTCTCTCTCTCTCATCAGTTGTCATCGGTAATTATACAGTATGATGGGAATTTGATTCAAAAATCAGAAATCATTGATGTTACATTTGTACCTAATGAAAAGAAAATTAGTTTATGTCATTCAGTTTAGGAGAGCTGTAGATAAGTAGGCCACTTTTTTTTCTTAGTTAAAATATCGTCAGTCTACTTATTACTGATTGAGAGGGTTTGTATTATTCCATTATTAATATTGAGGACTGAGGCTGATCAATCATTGCTGATATATGGGATTCATGAGAGAATAACTGGATTTCGTTTATACTTACAAACTGAATATATTTCGATTAAGGGATAATGGTTGAATGATGAATGAATTTTTAAAAGGGACGGCAGGATTTAAGTATTGTATTCTTTCACCTGTATATTTGAGTTATGAAGCTTTGAAACATAGTATTTGAGAGCACTACTAATATGTCGAGGAAAACAGTAAAGTGACTGGTCACAATTCGTGTGAATAAACATGAAAAAGTAGCACATAAACAATAACTCTCATACTCAAATTCATAAACGGAGCTATTTGTATAGAAAAGACGTTGAGTAAGATTAAATTCAAATGTTAAACGCAAACAAAACAAAGAGGATCGGACCAACTGTGTATCGAGGTATTTTATAAAAGCTTTAATCAACAACTGATGTATTGAGATGAATTCTCTGTGACTTTATATAATATTAAATATTTTAGCTCCGAGTCTATTTTCATACTAGCTCACACAGTTTCTCCAAAATAAACTGAACTACTTACACATTTGCTAGTAGTCCATATGTCAATAATTAAATAATCTTCTCAAAAATGATTGTATTACTTTTACTTAAATTTAGGGGCCAGTTTATTGATTACAATGATCGAGGTGATCCATTCCTTCAGAATCGTACATGGCGTACACGCGACTTCAATTATGATAATGTAATTCATGCAATACTTACACTATTCACAGTGACAACTGGTGAGGGGTGGCCAGCGTAAGTAATTAACTTCTTAATAAATATACTTAGTTTCCTTCGTAATTCAGTGTTCAATTATTGAGGATCCATAGCTCGAAGAATTCACCATTATTAGGAAAGTCTTGAATTTTATAATTTCACAGACGATAAATGATATAATACTTTTATATTTTGATTCCTCTATTTAGTTTGAAATATTGATCATGCTTCAGGTAAGATTACAAGAAAATTCGTTATCTCATTTAAGTTGTTATTCCTAGTTTCCTTAGTTTAAAATTACTGATGACATTTATCCTGATCATATATTTGAGATTACAGCTTAGCTGTCATAAACCCAGCTTTAGTGTACAGTAGAATTTACAGGAAATCGTCACTAATTTCCACAATACTTCATTATTAAGCGAACCGATAAAAAGATTTCTGAATGCTCGAATATAATGTGTTTGACCGTAGTTATGACATTTCACGTGATGTAGACAAAAGTTTTGGGTTATACATGTATCCTATCCTTTAATGGTAGAAGTTCACCACCAGGAATTTATAGTTACTAAAAATTTATTTGTTTCAAATGGATTCTTAAAACGTACAGACTAAGGTTTAACACTGAAAAATTGGTACCTGCCAATTTGGATTTTGTACAGACTTTCGGTCAGTTTCTTTGGTCATCTGCACTTAGAATTTTCAGATATTAGATACTATAACAACTTGATTTTTAGGAGAATTTTTTATGGAGGAGCAAATGCGTTTCACTCATGTTTACAGACAAAAGACGGTAATAAAACTGACTAAATTTGAATATCAGACAAACGAAGGAATCTATAAATCAGCTCTTATTTAAGGAATCGGATATACATTCATTTTCATTTATTCAAAATCAGTCTCCCGAAACCCACATCAGTTATAAACTTACACTTGAAAGCCAGGATATAGGATTACCATGTATATAAGAGGTCATATTTCATCTATTATATCCTTTTTAGATTGGATATACAACTCCGCCTGGAGTCCCTCCGGGGGCTACTGCCGGTCCTGAAATTCATAAGTCTGTATTCTACAAACCCTAGTCCTAAACAAAGGAGACGTTGACGATCATCAAAAAATCGTGCAACACTAATTTGGAGGAATACCATTATTCAAAAACTGAGTAATCTATTCATAAAAATCACTTCACATTTAAGTGCTTCGACATAAACTCCCTCAATTACATGTAATTGTTTGATTATAAAGATGATATCTGAAAAATGTTTAGGTACTGAACGTCAAAAGATCATCATAGAAATTTATGGTGTAGCTCTAACAATATACTCATTTTGAATAGGTAAAATTCACTTCTGTGTAACAATGAGCTAAAATGAGATAGTTTTGTGCCTTAAACAACCTATTTAAAATTATCGGAAGCACTTTTAACTTTCCTCTTCTAAAATATCGTAGCGTAGTCAAGTTTCACGAATAATGGGTTTGCTTCAATAGATAATATATTTTATTAGTACTAAGGATGACACATTTATAGTACTATTTATGAGATTGAGTTAAGGTCTGACAGTTGTTTAGGATTTTGGAATTAAGCGTCTGAAGAGTTACATTATTGAAAATACTTTTATTTCACTTTGATATATTTCAGTTGATGTGAATGTCGTCGCTTAAGTACAAACTGCTTCTTGTATAAAAGTGTTTCTTTTCAGAAAATACCTAATTTAGAAGATTAATTTAAAAAGAATTTTCAGTAATATATTACTTATTTCCGTCTAGAGGAATACTTTACCAAAAAAATGTTTGCCACTCAGTGTTTAGGTCCAAAAATATACAAACTTGAGGTAAATTAACAAGAATATTCAAACAAACGTTTGTTGGATTATTCTACGACAAGTATCTAAATTCCAGTTTTAAAATGTAGAGCGTAGAGATGAACTACTTACTATATATTAGGTAATTAAAAATACAACTCGAAATAATAATGACATGATGCATATAGGATGTCATACAGCGTGAAAAAATTCAGAAAGTAGTATATTAATACATGGAATGTTGTTACGGAATTTCTTGCTTTGTTTCATATGCTTATTACATAGAACAAAAATCCTTGAGTCTATTGCAAACATATAATGTCATAGGTGATCGCATTTAGTGAAACAATAAACAATCACCTATGAGACTTATCAGGGCTATTTTTCAACATTGCTCAATTTTAAATGATATGTTATCATTAGATTGAAGTGATAATAAAAGTGCTAATACTATTATTATTAATAATAACGACCATGATTATAAAGGCCTTATTCAGTACTATACGTTTAGTTGGATGTAGTAAAGAAAGAAACTACCATTAATATAAATCAGATGCTTTCATTGAAACAGTCATAGTTATGAATAAAGTTCTATTACATAATAAACCTACTGAAATTTGACTCTTTTTGTTCTTTTAAATATCCATTTGTTACTGAAGAGCACCTAAATTATATATATATATATATATAACTACATTTTTATTAATCCGGTGTCCATCTTGTTGTGTTAATGAGGTGTGGCAACTTGGACCGATGCATATATGTGCCTGGTCCTACGTTGTAGCTGAATGACTGACTGATATAACTTCATTGAAGACGAAATGACTTAGTTATTATCGCAATATACAAGCTATATTTAGTGGGACCCTCCTTTAATGTAAAATCTACGTGTTCCTAGATATTTCAACAAGTTATCTGTTTTCGTATGTTTATGAACAGTTTACAACCCTTCGCTGTACGGGTTACAAAAATGTACAATTGGAGACATCGTGGTGGTTGTATATATGAATTGAAAAGAATAAACATTATTCAGATATTGATTCCTGAACTGCTAATATCTAATTGTCAGTCACTCAATATATTATCGTCAGGATAAATCAAGAAATAAGTAGAAGGAAACCTGTTGATATACTTTGTTCTGAGATTTGTATATTGTACTAAAAACTATAATATTGAATAAAGCTATTAATAATAATATGAATTCATAAAATCAATGTACTTCGAAACAAAATCTCAATAGCTTAAATTCACTTGGCATTGTTTTACATGTATCTTCTCATTGCTGTTTAGGACTGCGATTGATCAGTCTCTTGTTGGCATATATGCATCCTGTGAGTAATGTCTCGATATCGCCTTACGTCACAAACTTCACAAGCAAAGATGGATGGTGGCTAGCAGCGGAAGCCAGGACGCGTGTTTCGTCCTATTTTGTACTCGTTCGCTGGATGTCCCTGAATCTCAGAGTTGATGTTCACTTCAGGACTCAAACATCAACTCTGGGATTCAGTCCCATACATCTTATTCTAACTTTCAGACAGGCCAATCCATTCATTCTAGTTGAGTCATATTCCGACCTTGTTAATTATCCGCTTATCAACCTTGACTGTTTTTATATGAGCGCATATGTGCGTGTGTACATTTCTTATCCTATTCATCACATGTCTGTAGCCTATTTCTGTGTGCCTATAAATATTGATTAACGCTTGAGTAAAGAGGGTTGGCTTACCCGCCATCTCCACTGCGTGTCGTTTCGCCTCGTTCTATTCCATTCGATTCATATACAAAATATATGTATTCAAAAGTCCATTCTCGTTATTTGACTTAATTCCGTTATTGACTAACGCGATCTAAGTCGATAATTATATACGAGAATAAGTGACATATATATTTCAATAACAATCATTCATACGATCAAATTGGAGTCAGATCCCGGGCCACTAAATTGGAGAGCTCGTCAACAAATATCGTCCGATCTAAATGACGACAAAATAAAGGGCTCCACATTAGTATTATATAAAATTGTAGCCCTGTCTATTATTCCATTCCATTCCATTCAGTTAATATCATTTCACGTAAAACCTTTTACTTCACAATAATGTGTTTCATTCATTAATATTATCAACATTTTATTACTCTCTTAAACATAACAAACATTTTAACACAATTTATGTACTTTTGATTGTGTTTCTTTTTTATTGTTCTTATATAGAGTACTTAAAAATTCTATTGATTCAACAGTTGCTGATCGTGGTCCATCACCAGATTTTCGTCAAGAAATGGCTATTTTCTATGTGGTCTTCTTTATTGTATTTCCATTCTTTTTTGTAAATATTTTTGTGGCACTTATTATTATTACTTTTCAAAATCAAGGTGAAAATGAACTAATTGAATTAGATTTAGATAAAAATCAAGTGAGTAGTATTTTTATTCTAAATTAAATAATTTATTATGTCAATTTTTAATTTATAGATAAGCTGATGCGAAAAAAAAAGAGACGAAGATCAGTAAAGGGATCTCTTTTCAACGAATTTATTATCAAGTCAAGGTAACGATAAGAATAGGACGTATTTCTTTTGTATGCACAGTTCTGATTTCAGCTCATGGGTAGTAAGAGCTTCGGCTATTTTGGAAGTTCGATACGAAGAAATCTAGGTAGATTTGGACGAATAGTATATACAAACATAAAATCAAACTGTGAATCAATAGAATGATTACAGTCGATTTGATTTTCAAGTATGGAACTCCTAACTGCTTTCCTCTCACCCTTGTAGAACAACACTAGGATCTCTTTTCAACGAATTTATTATCAAGTTGCACAACTGTATATATATATATATATGAAAATGTTTTGTTAAAGTACTATTTCCATGAGGAAGTGTAAACAAGAAATAACCAATATGATGTAATAGAAAGATTATAATACTAGATTACGTAACACGAATAATAAGAATAGACTTCATAAGTTAGTAACGATTATTACGTTTTATATACGATTCGTCCAATTCTACCTAGATTTCTTAGTATCGAACTCTCAAAATAGCGGAAGCTCTTACCATCCATGAGTTCAAACCAGAACTATGCATACAAAAGAAATGCATCCTATCGTTATCGTTACATTGGCCTTTATCATTATTATTATTGCATTTTTCCCTTATGTCTCATATTCTCAATATTTTATTTAAAACTGCTTATGATAACACTTCATTTATTTCGCACCTCCATTACCTTTACCTACAGTTATGAAAACAAGAACATTTTAATCATCCTACTACATTCATGTTATAATTCATTACTAACTTATTAAATCTATTGTTATTACTCATATGACGTAATCTAGTATTATATTCCTTCCATTACATGATCTTGGTTATTCCTTCTTCACATTTCCTCACTGAGCTAGTACTTTAACAAAAAGAACGTACGGCTTGATAATAAATTCGTTGAAAAGAAATCCCTTCACTTAACTTCGTGTTTTTAATGTGTTTAAATGGGAATTATCTGTCGATTGATTCGAAATAACCATGTAAAATAATAATTTCTTGTATTTAATGTGTTTACAAACAAACTGTTTGTTTTGACTAGCTAAAAATGGAACCTGGAATATATTTTTCCATCCAATCAGAATTTTATCACTCGAACCAAATACCGTTCGATTCAAACACTATCGCTTATCACTGTACGCGATATCGAGACAATTCGCACAGCAAACGCATATGGTAATATGAGACTGATCAATTGCAGTCCTAAGCGTCAATCGGAAGATTCAAACAATCAATATAAAAATGAAATAAAACTTCACTCCATTGCACAAGCTAGTGGTTATCTGGACTTAGTAACTAAGTTGATAACGTGATGTCGTTTGAAGTGAACGGTCTTTAGTTCGAGTTCCGGAATGCACATCAACTGTGGCATGCCGGTACATTCAACTGACGGGTCCAAAACAGGAAAAAACCTGCGTGCTGGATTTCACAGTTAGCCACCATTCGTCTCTGCTTATAATGCTTGTGATTTAAAGCAATAATTACTAGTTAAAAAAATTTAAATTACCATTGAATATATCACTAATTTCTATTTCTTTCAAAGATTATAAAAGTTTATTTGACTGGCATATAAAGTAGCTAGTGAATAATCTGTTACATTGCTCCTCAGAAAAGAACATATAACTATTTCAAACACTTTATGTTTCAGAAACGTTGTATTGATTTTGCTATTAATGCTCGACCATTATGTCGGTATATGCCAAAAGATAGACATTCATTGAAATATCGAGTATGGCGTCTTGTTGTCTCGACACCATTTGAATATTACATCATGGTTATGATTGCAATTAATACTTTAATTTTAATGATGAAGGTAAGTTTGAACATTTTTATTTTAAAAGAAATACTGATTGTATGTCATATGTTCGGTATACGTTTGAAGGATTTATGGCGAGACTATAATTTATGAACGAGCCAATCAGGTATAAGATAACAGATCTCAAATTTTGGCGCGATCTTCAATCATATATTTGGCTAAATAGGGTTTGGCATTATAGCTGATGCCAGTTCGTGATGAAAAACCGTAAATCTAATTCCTAACCTTAACCATCAACTGTAAATCACAATTCTAATTCCCCTTACTGGTTTATAACCCCCTGCTTATTAGGTGGACACTCTCCAGGTCAGTTTAGCGTCATTCAATGGTCTTCCATAAATCATAGTCTCACCGACCATTTTCAATTTAGTTAAAATATATTATACAACTCATAAGACTATAAAATCCTATTCACATTAAGACTTGTTTTCTGTTATTCAATTCATTTTAAACTGTTGATGGTTTGTTTTCTCATTTATTAAGTTTAAAGACTGAAACCATTTTGTAATCGTTATAAAGTATTGTATATAAAAGGATATATGTAAACGTGTTATGACTTTGCTTCGTTAATCAATCAGCTTTGTAACTGCTATTATATTAATTTCAACGGTGTTTAAAATCAGAAGGCAATGAGAAGCGGCAACTACAATTTATTAGCGGATAGCGCAGATCAAAATCCATAAGCACATCAAGCGAATTTGAAGCAGAGAGGCGAATATGTAAATGCGAGCAATTACATTGGCAAATTTATAGACAAATTGAGTAAGGGCGCAACAAGGCAAAGAAGCATTAATAATCAGATTTGTGTACATATAAACATGAGGAGCAGCATGAATTATCTAGTGATATTTAAGTGATCAAGATTTTAGCTAGAATCCGTCATGTGCTCTAGTGATCATAACAGTACAAAGAAATATGCGACTTGTTACTATTCAAATAATATTGTCTGTTGAGTAAGTTAATAAAAGAGCTTAACCAAAATTAACCATAATCGAAATTGGTTGTAGGCTAGTTACTATAACCGTACTAAATTGTTGTATATAAAATAGCTGAAGTAGAACGCCTAAAAACAGAAACAAATGTGACAATTCTTTCAAAACACATCAATCTTATAATAAATCTGACTAAGATATCCATCAAGAAGCATAATTTTAAACAAACTAATACACATAAGTAAATCATGAGATCTACAAGAGAAGAGAAAACATTAAGATTATATATAAATTGTTTAAAACCTATAATAATTGTTCATCCGCTTGATCAGTTTTAAATGTGACTAATTTCATCTGTTTATTCAAAATGAAACATCTATTATAGATCCTTAAAGCACAGTAAAATTAAAGCTTAGAGAGTTATTATCAGAAGGAGTTTTGTGGAGATTTCAGAAATTTCAATAGTCGAAATCATGAGTCAGTTGACCACCATGGACAACCTGGAAGCACTGGACGGCCTTTTCGTTCTAGTATGGAACTCCTCTGTAGTGCGCATCCACGATCTCGCCCTCCACGAGATTCGAACTCAGGGTCTATCAGTCTCGCGCGCGAACGCTTAACCTCTAGACCATTGGTCCGGTAGGCATCCAACGGTGTCACTGTTTAACTTCAAACAATCCACGAAATCGCGCCACCGTCCACCATTGTGTAATAGGTCCTGGGTTCGAATCTCTCGAGGGGCCGGATCGTGGGTGCGTACTGCTGATGAGTCACATACTAGGACGAAACAGCCGTCCAGTGCTTCCAGGTTTTCCATGGTGGTCCAGCTTCAATTGATTCATAGTTTCAACTATCGAAATAAGAGAGTTATGTAAATAACTCCTAGGATTTTCTCTACAAAATAAAAAAGTCGATAGATAAGACCGAGAAAAAGTCGTAGAGAATCACAGCATCTCAGGAACTTGTATTTCTGAAATTAAGACAATATTATTGAACTGATGACTCAACGGGTAGGGAAGGTTTTGTAAAGTTTAGATATATGTCGTATTCTACAACCCCGATTAAGACTAGAAATAAGTATATGCCTCCTTTACACTGTCTAATTTTAATGAATTAAACCATTTAGCTAACCCATGGAGTTAGTTATTTCATGTCTACAGTTAAGTAACTTAAACACTAAATTTGTGAACATTATCCTAAATGGTTAAATAGAGGACAGTTAAGATTAGGCAACCGTTTTATACTTTCTCACTTAGTTAAAACAAAACGTCAAGTGGACATAAACAAGGCCTTTCAAATCATCAACAAGATTTCAAAAATTTAGTTCATAATTTACACGTACATCTTTTGCATATGCTGAATCCATTGCCTTCCATCTTAACTAACCTGACCTTTTAATACATAGGAAATTTATACAACCAGTCTCCCATATTGATCAACAAAATAAATAGCACTAGACTAGGTTGATAATGACTAAGTATACTCTCATTGTTGTGTTTTCTTTCTCAAAACATTCAATCTTTTTTCGTTGCTGCATGATTGCAATGTTCATTTTATCTTCAACTTACTGTAATCTATATTGGACCTCTTATTAGAATTACGTCTATTCTTTTGCATTATAATAATGAAATCTATCAATTCTATGATTTGATGCTTTAATCCATTCATTTATTAATTAACACCAATAAGTACTAGTTGCTTCATTCATTTCATCTACTAATTATGTTACTACTTCCAAGTGAATTATGTGAATATAACAATATACAAAGAACAACATAGCATGAATATCATAGCTTTCACAAGTATTATCCCCAGTGACTGATTACAAGACGAAGTAAATTCATTGAAATTTTAACATTGTTTTATCAAATGGATACAGAACATAAAATAGGCAAGAGTTTAACATTTTACAGAAGGTAATAATTAGCATTTCAAAGGTTTTACATCAATGGTGGAGAAGATTTGTGGGTCAGGTGAATGACTTTGATGGAGTTTTGTTCTCTGAGCTAGATGGTTTGGTTGTGGAGCTTTCATCGTTCTTCTGAACGACGTCATCAGCACAAACTTCTATCAGCTTAGAGAATAAAACTCCATCAAAGTTTTACGTTAAGATTTATGATACATAGTTAAGGTAATCACCACTAGAATTTCCTAATCAAACGTATCTCTGTAACAAAAAAATCGTTCGTTTAGACCGTTTCATTCCCAAGCGGTTCATCAAATATTATGTCACAAATATGATCATTTTGGTCGGGAAATAGTGAATGTTAACTCTTATTATTTTTTCTATTATCTTTATATTCAAACTCCTTTTACACATTATTCACGTAGCTTGTTAATTATTCATTCATCTTACTCCATACATAAATATTCCTAATAAACTCTGTATGTATAATCCCATAGTATAATGATTATTATCATCAATTTTATCCAGTAATTTATATAGTTCTATTAGAATTCCATTTATTGAACTGGTTTAAATGTTCGGTACAACTATTTATATCTGTCAATGTAAAGTCTAACGAGAAATTACTGTTATAACTTGTGGCCTTGTGCCCAATTAATACATAACGTAATGATACCGCCAATTAGAGAACAGTGATTTATCCACCAAACCAATGACGCATAAACGCGTATGCGAAGTCTAGAGTCCTTAACGTTTCTTTCTTCCTACCTAGCCCTGACTGTTAAGTCCAGAACATCAATCTCATCCTCCGTGATATAAATGATACATTTCCAACATACTGGGTTTATATACAAACCAACAGATCACATCGTACCACAAAATAAAAAATAACATTTAAACAAGATCTAACCAAAAGTGGCCGTGAATAAGGGAGACTGTAGTTAATAAACTGGGCATAACTCAAGAACAACAAATCATATAATAATAGTCTATAAGTCAAAATAAAGCTTATAATAGGAGAAACATAAATATGCATAGTTTAGATACTTAACAATTATACAGTAGAAATATATGTATCATATTGGTCCATAAATAGTTCCCAAAAGTTACCATTCATAATTCTCGTCGGGATATAACAGTTATCGATCATAAATATTACCTCCAAGTAATTTTTCATTTTATTATGACAGAAATATTCAGGTTATATAAAACTTGGCGCTGAATAATAAATAGGCACTGACAGATTATCACTAGTTTTGTACTTAAAGACATTTCATCAGGTTTCAACTCATTAAGATCATTATACACTTAATTGTATTTATATGTAAACGTTTCCCCGGGGTGGACGCGCAATTTCGTGAATTGGTTGATGTTAGACACTAACACCATTGGATGCCGGCTCAGTGGTCTAATGGTTAAGTGCTCAGGCGCGAAGCCAGTAGGTTCTGGGTTCGAATCCCGAGGGGTGCGGGATCGTGGATGCGCACTGCTGAGGAGTCCCATACTAGGACGAAACGGCCGTCCAGTGCTTCCAGGTTTCCAACGGTGGTCTAACATCAATTGACTCATGATCTCTATCATGAATTAGTTTTCCAGTACTTCCTAGTTTTCAATGTATGTCTAATCAAGGTCATTTCATGATGTAAACTATAATATTAATACAACCATTCATAAATACCTTATCCTTTAAATTGACAGGTAATTTAGTTTTTGAAGAGAAAATACATCATAATAGTTATTAACTACAAAAAACTCAAATTACTTCCAGTCATTAAATGTTAATTGGTTAAACAAGAGTTAAATACTGATGAGTTTGAGACTATTTTTTTCATCGGGAAATATAACTTCCCATCGCATTAATCATTTCATTTGTTTGTTGTTTTGCTTTTGGTTGTTGTTTCTTTTTTTTGAAAATAAAATTAGTTGTCATGGCATATCCAACTGTATTTTTGCAGAGTCTAGATGACAGATCATTTAGTATGTTAGAAAGCATAAAGTGTTATAAACTTATATGTGATATACATCGGTAATTCATTGTAGATATTTACCAGAAACACCAACTATTATGAAAAATCAATAGCAAATCTTTTAATTTTCTCTCGTTTGTGCGCGAGATCGAAGGTCCTGGGTTCGAATCCCGCGAGATACTTTGTAGCTTAATAAAATCGTGGCGGCATTTAAAAAAAACGATCATAAGTAATTAAAATCACAATACAAAGAGGGAATTCATGAAATAGGTTCTTTCGTAGAATGTGGAAAACATATATTGAATAATTTATTTGCAAATTCTTCATCAATGGTCTCAAACTTCATTGTTATTACATTTATACTCTTTTCTTGTGCTCTTCGATTCGATCTTCTCAACCTTCTGGTGTCAGGCATTCCACTTCTGATTGGTGTTACATACTACTTATATCTGCTGATATAAGTAGCATACGACTGAGCTTAAATGAAATTTGTTGTTTTTAGTTAGATGCATGGTCAGCATTAATTTTATTTGATATTATTCTAAAATTCATCTTGAAGTTGATGGAAAAGACTTGTAGCTTAAGTAAATATTTGTTCAAATGTGAAACTTTCATTGAAATCTTTCACATTATTAACATTTACTTCAGATAGAAAAAAGGATTATTCAACTGTTGTCAAACCATTCGTTAAGCTTGCTTACAAATTATCTTTATAGTGGAATTTTTTATTTTCATGTATCTTTGCATTCCGCTGGTGGGTTTGTGTTTCGATAGACTCTTACTTCTAATTGACTGACTTTTACCTCACAAGTTAACAGAACAAATCTATGTCTAAATGTGGACTGGTTTTAGATTGAATTGGACAATCTGCTTCTGGAAATTCTTCACCTAACTTGAAAACAAGACATGAACAATGCGAGTATTTAACAAAATTACTTACTAAACCTGTTCAATAAAAACTGTAGTGTAGTTCATTGTATAATTCGTTAAAACGAAAAAAAATGTTACTGGTGAAAAATTGAGTTAGACTTTAATAGAACGCGGGTTGTTTGACAAAAAAGGTACTAAAGATAACATAAATGGAAAATATACAGCTTGATTAACTAAATAACTACGCTAATTTCCGAATATTTAAGAATGTTTTTCAAAATACTTAAACACGTTCGTCATTATGTAAAACCTATAAATTTACAAAGATAATAGTCACGGTATCTCATGAAGTGGTTAAAGGCTTAATTATACCATTGGATGCCGACTCAGTAGTTCTAATGGATAAGCGTACAATGCGAAATCTAAAGGTTTTTATTTTCATCCGTGTCGGGGTTGTAGGAGTGGATCACTAAAGAATCAAGTGCTTGAAAGGGATTTTGTGGAGACTGTAATAATTTCAATAGTTGAGATAATGAGTCATTTGAAGCTCGATCATCATGGAAAATCTGACTCAGTGATCTAGTGATTAAGCGCTCGCGTGCCAGACTGATAGGTACTAGGTTTGAATCCCGTGATGTGGGATCGTGAATGCACACTGCTGAGGAGTCCCACAATGGGACGAAACGGCCGTACAGTGTTTCCAGGCTTTCATGATGGCCTAGCTTCAACTGACACATGATCTCAACTATTGAAATCCAGTGCTTCATGGTCTATAAGCATATCCGAACTGTAATCAGTCTGTGGTGAATAAAATCCTGAAATTTATACGGTCCTCAGAAACCTATTAATCGAAATATATCATAAGTCAACATTAAAAATGTTGCAAAGCTACATAACATATGCACACTTTACTAATTAAATGACCATCCGACTTTTTGTACTTTTGGTTTCGATTAATAGTATCATCGTCAAGAACAAAAGACGTATTTTACTGCTTCCGTTGACACTGAACAACAAGCTTATCATAACTATTGTAATACATTATTGTATTTCAATTCTGCTTTCACTGTCATGTTCTCTGTGGAATGTATGCTGAAAATTATGGCTTTTGGACCAAAAGTAAGTAGTATCATATAATGTAATGTTTTCGTTTATTCTCGTCATACCTCTTACTCTCGTTTAGATTAGTTCACTTTTTTCTTAATTTTATTTTAATGCTGGATTGTGGATTAATAAAAACTAGAGATCACTTTACAACTATTTTGTTTTAACTGTTGAATAAATAAATACATCTAGAAACTTATTTCCTAAAACTTGAATCTAAGGCTTGTAAAGTAGAATATATGTGGAACGAGTCTGATACTTGAAGACAATAAAATATAGTGGTTTTGTGGTATGGGTTACTTATATCCACATAAGTAGTATATAACGGTGGTCAGACATAGAATGTATTTCAGTAGAAGGTCGATAAGGAAAGAACGGGAACGGAACGCAGTTGGTATGAAAACGTATGGAAAATGAAATCTGAGACAATGGATCGATGTTTGCAACAGGAACAGTCAAGTTTGAGACAATGGATTGATATTTTGCAAATTAACGATTTACTATATGGTTCTCAGATTTTAGTGAGATGCTCTGTAATTTCGTGTCAAATACATTCGAATGTCCCACTTGTGTTCTTGTTCACTACAGTTACACTATATTACAAATTGATTGTTTGTGAATTGATATTTACTATTTTCCAAATCACAGGTTAGATTTCTTTAGTCCTACTTATGGAGTTCGAAGGATTCTCTCATAAGAGTTCATGAACTAGAATGAGACTACTTTCAATACTCTGTGATGAAATCAAATTTTTACAAATATTTAACCGAATAATTTTGTTTTGTCAAAAAGTGATTATTAAACAATCCATCTCGTTTATAAGGGAAACAAGTTGACATTTTTGATTTATGATATAAATAGACATTACTGAACTTTTATGAGTATTTCTTGTTAGATAGATGTATTCCAGGCACGATAAGTGTTATTTTAGTGAATAAGGAGTAAATTTTATAAAACTAATTGTCACTAATGCTTATTTATGCCAAGAAATCACAAAAGTTTCCAAAGATGACTTTTTTTCATTGCAACTAGTCATTCTGGAAATAATATCACTATTTCCAATATTCCTCTGTGTTGAACAGTGGAGTCCAATAAGTATCGGGCAGAGATATGTATCAATCTCAGATAATGGATGAATAGTTGCACAGTCATTCATGGATTGATTGAAGTTAAACATTAACACCGTTGGATTCCTGCTTGTTTGTCTACAGGTTAAGCATTCAAGTGCAAGATCAGAGGTGCTGGGTTCGAGTCCCTTATGTGCAATCATGGATGTACACTGCTGAGGCTTCCCACACTATTGCAAAACTGCCGTCCAGATCTTTCAGGTTTTCAGTGGTGGTCTAGCTTCATGAACTCACTAATTCAACTATTAAATTTGTCTGAATATGTCAAACAATTAACGAAACAATAAAACTAACACTAACATTCATTGGTTCATTTTTGTTTTGCTTATTTATGCATGATGTGACAAATTTGATTTATATCATACATAGAAATTGTATGTTTTCTTAAAAATCCACTGATCAAAAGAGATAAATAATGAATGAAATTTCTTCTCACACCTCAGATCCACTTAGGAATACACACAACCTGTTATCTTAACTCACTTTTCGTTTCACACCACATCTGTTATTCACACTAAAGCGAATACGTACTCTATATATTGTTAACGTGATTGGCTGACTTATTTTGTATACAGTTAATCGAAGAACTATGTACCTGTTTATATTTTATTGCCAAACGAAACATTGGATTTACTTCAAATTCATTCGATTAGATTTTACAAATACTTTCTTCCTCTTTAATGTCTTGAATCAATTCGGCGCTCAAATACTGTGAAACTACTAGTTCAAATTTAGATGAAAGTAATTATATATTCCTCTTTATTATTTGTACTCTAAAACAAGCTGTTTACTTATGAAAATTAGAGTCAGTATGTTAAATACGTAGACATAAATTAGTTGATCGTATTAAACAAACAATGTCTGTTTGATTTAATAATATCAAACAAAAGTTTGATTTTATGGAGAAAACAGATTTTATTTTTTAACAGTTGAATTGGTGAATTGATGTAAGCTAGACGATCAAAGAAAACGTGAAACCATTGAACTGTCGTTTTATCCTAGTATGAGACTCCTCTTCATAAATCATCCACGATCTCACACGCGGGACTCTAAAGCATCCAGTGGTTTCAGGTTTTCAATGGTGGTCTAGCTTAGATCGATTCATGAATTGAACTACTAATATCACTACGCTCAACATAAAACTCATTCAGATGTTTATTTGTCTTCGCTTAACTTACTAAATGCTTAAATATGCAGTAAGTTTGAATAAACATAAATAATCTAGTCAAATATCAATTGATTCGATATATATATATCGGTCCTGACGATAAGATGTCAAGTGATCACCAGTCGTATGTTAGCAGTTTAGGAATCAACATTTGAATAATGTTCAATGTTTTCAATGTATACTACCAGACATCACGACATCTCTAATTTTACAATTTTGTAAGTTGTACAGAGAAGGGTTTGAAATGTCTAGATGGTTGGGACAGGTGACTAAGATATTCAAGCAGGTCGCTTTAATCATCTAATTATTCATTTATTTCAGTATCATCCTTAATTTATCTTTTCATTTTTCAGAATTATTTCCGTGATCGTTGGAATATTTTGATTTTATTACAGTTATAGGAAGTATTACTGATGTATTAGTTTCTGAATTACAAGTAAGTGTATTGTTATTACGGATAAAAATGATAAATCACGTTCAGTAAATATGTGTTGTGCAACGTAGTTGATGAGCTTTGAATACTCAAACTAATTGGTTGTCCTCACTTGAGTGTTCATTTACAACAGTATCACTTACACATATAAGTTTCATAGTTTGAACCCCTGTGGATAAATTGTCATAGCTGTCAACAGTTAATAACTGAAAACCTTTCACATTAGACTGTTAAATACATTCCACTTCAGTTTCGTTTTCGATCGATGTCTCACTGAAATTATCTTCATTGACACAGATTACAAAGCTGCAGTATTCAGATTAGCTAATAACCGACAAGAGACCGGATTAGTTTTACAATGAAACTGTAAATTAGTCTAATGGAGGGTGTTCTGGAATAGAAAGTTTTAGTATTTTACTTGGTTTTAATAAATAGATATTTTGTTTCTTTCTCCAATTCAGTGTAGTTTAATTAATAAAATCACTTCAGATACTTCACTTTTCCTGTTAAATCTTACCAACAGCTTTCATTCCTGTCAATGAGGCCGAAAGATCAATATACTAATCAGTAAATGATTACCTAGTTTTTCATCCATATGAGTCCAGTCATATCTTCGTCAGTTTACCCTTAAGTAATTTTAACTACAAAATGTGTTTATTCTATTTTTGGAATTTTAATTCCTATAACTAAGTTCGCTACGACTCTTAAAACTGGAGACATTAAATATTATTGCTCTATATTTAATACTTATCGGTCAGTGACATGCTAATCAATAATGTCATCATTAATCTGTTACACATATTTTTTTCAATCTAATCTATAACTAAGCTTCATTAGTCAATACTTTTAACTGAATATTGTTTAGGTGCTATGCTTTACGGTCATTTTCTATAGTTCATAGTATACAAACACTTAGTAAAACTCATATTTCAGATCAGTCAATTAAATAACAATCTTTTTCATCAAGTGTTAATTGCCTCGAAATGCTCTGGTACGTCCAATGGTAGGGAGAGTCAGCTCTCCTTCACGAAATGCTCTCACATAGCCAAGAGTATACAACCACTGCCAGGGAAGTCCGACACACTGCCTTCTCGCAGTGGGGGTGTTGTTTGCAAAATTGAGAGGACGAAAAGCGAATAAGTGACGCTTTAACCGGGCTGGTGAAAATGGATAGTCCACCTAGGGGAGTTAGATACCCCTCATTCCAAACCAGTGGTGAACATGAGTACCAGGATTTTAAGGAAACGAATGGAATATGAACCTATTGTTTCTCACCGGCTACCATGGGACTGCATCTCCTTACGTTACTCCATTGCCCTGTAGATTATTCGTTTAAGTCAAAGGCTCGGGGTGTGACCCCCTAAGAAATCTACCTGTCTCGGTTTGAGCGCCTAGACAGTATCCCAGTTCCCACAAAAATCATTCGATTTTTGTGGCGCATATATATTCGGTGCCCTCTTGTCGGTCAGTCAGTCAGTAAAAACGTAGACCTTCGTATGTATGTACATCAGTTCGAGTTGCCATACCATATTAGCACAGAGATGCAGTTGTCCATTCAAATCCTGTAGTGGTAGAGGTAGTAGGAGTATAAGCAGTAATCGGAAAGATTAAGATTTGAAGATGCTATTCAAGGAGTATAATCCAATGAAATAAGTTAGGAAAGAGGGAAAAAAGGGACATGAAGAATTCAGGATATTAGAACTTGGGAGAGCACAAAGAGTGGATGCATCTGCACCATTGCAAACGATTTTGAGTCATGTCATTCAAGGTCTCTTACCATCGATTTCTATCGTCTCGCGGATCCCAACCAGTTAGTTCACACCTACCAACATGGCTCAGTCCACTTGTCCGTGACTTCATAGACTTGTGCCATGTTTTGGTCTGGTCGCCCCTAGTTTTCTTCCAACCTACTCCTACACCATAAAGCATCGCACGTCAGGTCAGTCGGTAGTTGGGCATACGTAACATGTGTCCCAGCCATCTCAACTGATGAAGTTTCACTACTTCATCAATTGATTTGCCATCCTTACCTAGTACCCGTTTCCTAACAAGTGAGTTACTTACTCGGTGGTCCCAGGATATACGAGCAATGCTTCGAAGGCACCTATGATCAAATACTGGTAACCTACGAATATCCTCTACTCTTACCGGCCATGTTTCACTGCCATAAAGTAGGACGGAACACACTGCTGCGCAGTAAACACGTCCTTTGGTTGATAGACGAATATCTCGCCTACGTCATATATGACGCAAGTTGACAAAAGCTAGTCAAGCCTTCTGTATCCGTGCTGAGATTTCGTCACACACCAGACCATAGGGGCTGGTGTGTGCCCTCTTGTGCTATTGCTTGTGTGTTTAAATAAATAAATGTTAATTTAACATCTTGAATTATTCTAAAAATCGCAAATTTTCATTTTAAAATGTCTATCCAATTCTCAAGTTACTAAGTTGAATTTTGTTTTAAACAATTACTTGAATATCCCATTTTGTTTTGCTTTACTTTTTTTTAGGAATCAGCATTTTGAGTTTAGGATTTCTACGTCTTTTTCGTGCAGCACGTTTAATTAAATTATTACGTCAGGGTTATAGTATACGTATTATTTTATGGACATTTATTCAATCAATTAAAGCATTACCTTATGTTTGTTTACTGATTACAATGTTATTTTTTATCTACTGTATTGTTGGTATGCAGGTATGATATATAGTACCACTTATTATTATTTATATTATCATTGTTATATATATTGTAACATAGTGTTAAGCATGATACATGTAAAATAATTAACGTAAACTTGATAGAATGCTCGAAATGTATAATACTTAATTTGTTTAGGCTTGATTCTGTTTCCGTTAGAATTACATCAGAAAAATCTGTTTGGAATAAGAGTGAATTAACAAAACGATGATATAATATATAGATTTGCATACGTTGTTGAATTTCATAGTTTATATCATAGATCAATAGTGATTAGACAGACGTTGAAAACCAGCAAGCAATGGAAGCTTTTTTTTGTCGTAGAATGCGGTTACTCCACAATCCACATCCACAACCTCATGAGGGGTTGGACCAAGGGTATTAAGATCTCTCTGTGACTGAAAATTTCAAGCTAATAATGTGGCTTCCAATGAATGAATTTCTAGCTGAGAATAATTTTCGGTGTTTCGTAACCATTTTTTATTGCACCCGATGGGTAACTAACCCAACTAGTCAAAGTTTGTATATACGTTAGACACTTAAGAAAAGATTTTCATCTGCTCCTTTCTCTATAGCTTATAAATGTGGTATTTTAAGTTTGGTAGTTTATTAAATTACTCTAGTATTTACATTATTGTTTAGATATATCGCGGGTTAAAATTAACGCATATAATTGAATCAAGTTTATCAGAACTAATTAATATATTATTCCAATACAAACAGCTTAATCACAAATTGACCTTGCAACCAGAGATGGATTATGGATAGCAGTGGAATCCAGGACTCACATTTCACTCCATTTTTGGACTCGTCAGTTGGGTGTACCGGCATCCCACAGTTGATGTCCATTCTGGATATCGAACTAAGAACCATTCTCTTTAAACGACATTACGTTATTAACTTGGCCACTTAGTCCAGATAACCACTAGCTTGTGCAATCGGGTGAAGTATTATTTCATTTATGTATCGGATGTTCGAATCTTTCCATTGATGTTTAGGACTGAAATTGATCAGTCTCATATTGGCGCATATGCATCCTACGTGGATTGCGCCGATAATGCCTGCAGTCACAAGCGATGACGTTTGAAGCGAACGTTATCGGATTTAAGTCCCTGAGTGAATACAGGTACATTCTGTTGATGAGTCCCAAAGTATGACGAAATGCATGTCCTGTATTCCACTGTTACCCACCATCCATCTCTTTTTATAATGCTTGTGCTTTATGACAATGTCGAGACAATCTGCACACAATGTACTTAAGGCAATATTGGACTGATCAATTACAGTCATAATCTTTAATAGGAAGACTCAAACAACTAATACAAAAATGAATTAACACATTAACTTGTTTAGAGATTTATGTTATGAAAAACATTAGGTCAACCAGTCATACTGGAAGATAAGGAAAAATAGATATTTCACTGATTGAAATCGTGAGTCAATTGAAACTAGACCACCATGGAAAACCTGGAGGCACTGGACGGCTGTTTCGCCCTAGTATGGGACTCCTCAGCAGTGCGCATCCACGATCTCGCCCCTCGAGAGATTCGAACCCAAGACTTATCAGTCTCGCACGCCAGGCGCTTAACCAACTAGACCACCAAGCCGGCATCTAACGGTGTTAATATTTAACCTCAACCAATCCACGAAGTTGCACCACCGTACACCATTTTAATCAGTGAGCTGATATCTCACAACAGACCTGGTTGAACTCCACTGGTTACAGCTTCTCACTAAAACTCCAGGAGTATCTCTTGAAGTCAGTCACTAGTGAGCAGATAATTATTATCAGAAGGGGTTTTGTGGAGATTTTAGAAATTTCACTGATTGAAATCATGAGACTGATAGGTCCTGAGTTCGAATATCGCGGGGGACGGGATCGTGGATGCACACTACAGAAGAGTCCCATACTAAGACGGAACGGCCGTCCAATGGTTCCAGGTTTTCCATGGTAGTCTAGCTTCAATTGACTCATGATTTCAATCAGTGAAATTCCTAAAACTCTCCACAAAACCCCTTCTGATAAAAATAGATACATTAAGATAACTAATATAAATCATATTCCTCTAGGTAATATACTAGATATTTCCAGTGTAGATTCAATGTGAGAACAAATTTTTTCCAAATACATATGAAACGGTTGAATCTTCATATATTCAAGCTTTTAATGAACCAATAGTATACAACTGCTAGGTACTTTTAAATAACATTTCATATGAATGATTTTACTATCAATTATATATATATATATATATATATCATCTATTCCAACCAGGCATTACATAATAGATTAAGATGTTTGTTATGGTTATATTCCTATCAATGAATTAGAATTTTATTCAATATTTTACATTAATTCATACAAAGTTAAAAGTACACATTTAAAATAATCAATATAATTCTCTTTTATTTCATTTCTTTCTTTTAAAAGGTTTTTGGTAATATTAAAACAGATCCACATTCTCAATTAAATAATCATAATAATTTTCAAACATTTGGAGATGGGATACTTTTACTATTTAGGTGAGTATATTTCTATTTTATTATTATTTTTGTTTTGTTTTGTTTCATATAAAATCAGTTTAATCTAGATAAAGAGAGAATTCTTTCATTCATTCATTACTTACTTACAAATGGGGCATAGACTGTCAACCAGTATTCTTCAATTTATTCTGTCCTGGGGCATTCTTTTCTAGCTCTATCTAACTGTTATTCATTCTCATATTTGTTTCCATTTCTTGAAGTCATGTGTTCTTTAATCTTCCACTTCTCCTTTGACCTTGGGGATTCTAAATGAGGGCTTGCCTTGTGACTTAGTTGGGTGCTTTCCTCAATGTGTGTTCAACCTACTTCCAGCGCTTCTTCTTGATTTCTTCCTTTACTACATTGTTGGGTACATATATTCATAAATGAATATATGTACGCAACAATGATGATTGATTAAAATAAAAAATAAGTTTCAGTTGGTCAGCAACAATTTTTTAAAATATCATATAAATACTAAAAATGAGTAAAAAGTGTTTCCTGTTTTGTCAGAGATTAAAATTGTAGGATCAACAATGAGTAGAAAATTTTTGTTTTTTATTAAAGTGAATATTTAGTGGTCTGCAAAAATTTTCTAGGTTGTTGAAATTTTGATTTGCTTATTATTTAGTTTTATCCGTATGAGGTTGGGGAAATTATTAAGTTTTTGATTGAGATACTGAATCAATTAATGTTAGGCGAATATTAAAAAACTGGAATATCTGGACGGCCGTCTCGCAATAATGTAGGATTCCTCAGCAGTGTGCATCTATGATCCCGCAATTGGGCCCCGAACTCAGAAACTTCGGTCTCTGTACACCACCAAGTCGGAATCCAACGGGGTTAATGCCTAACTTCAATCAATCCATGATCTTGTGCAACCCTTCATTGATTGTGTGGGGTGTATACGTGCCTCTACCCGATACGGATCGGACTCCACTGTTCACTGTTTCTCACTAGAACTCCAGGAAATCATCTTGAAGCCAGCAACTAGTGAGCACCAGTGTTCAGTTATCATCAATGCAATTCAGTGATCATTGTCTCATATCGTAGAATTTATAGATTCTGCTTAACCTAAACTATTTTATTTCTATTCAATAGTTAAATATTATGCTAGACGAAAAATTTCAAGGTTCAAAAATTGTCATACTGCAGTAAACGAGAACCAGTGGGAACAATCAAATTTATTTAAATACAAAATTACTGAACCCATTAGTAAAATCTTTAAACCATACATTAAATGCTTCATTTGCAAAATGCCAATCAATCGTCTCTGACTTTACCGTTTTTTTCGTTTCCACAGCAATCTTTCTCTTTTCTTCAATCTTCTTAACCCTCTGACACCAGGCATTTCACTGTCGATTGATGATATATACTACTTATATCTGTCGACATCAATAGAACACACTACATTACCACAATGAACATTTTGTAAATAAACTAAGGATTAAATATTTTTTCAGACTCAAAAGTACATTTTTTTTCTCATAAAAAGAAATTTCTGTTTTTCTTACTAACCATTTTGATGATAAAACTGAGAATATTCTAGACAAATTTAATTTGCATTTTATTAGTTACTTGACAACAAGTAAATAAAAGGATAATGATTGTATTGGTTCTTCGAGTGTTATCTTTAATCTAATCTATTCAGCAGATTCCATTTACCAGTAGTATTGACACTTGTTATGTTTTCTTTTTTGTTTTCAATGGTTAAGAAACAAAAGCGTTTTCATCAAAACCGAAAGAAAAATTTGTTTTTCCGATTGTGGTTATTATTTATTTTGTTTATGAAGTTTTAGATTTCTCTGTTTGCGTGAATATTCAAAATCTTTACACGTGACCTATAGTTTTGTACTTTAATGATAACATGATAATATGTTAGTTTTGAAATCACACACGTAAAAAATCCATTTCTTTATTGTGAGACGGATTGTTTTCCCGCTTAAAATTTGTGTGTACTATGATTTGAAATTTTTATAAATTGTCAGCATATTTCTTTCTAATATGGGACTGATCATCAGTGCGCACCCATGATCCCTCCCTGCGAGATTCGAACTCAGGACCTATCGACTCCGCGAGCGAGTGCTTAAACTCTGAACCACTGAGTTGACATCTAACGGCGTAAATGTCTTACTTCAATCGATCCACCACATCGTGCCACCGTCCACTATTGTCTTCAGTGAGTTACTATCTCACAACAGATACGGTTAGACTCCACTGGTCACGGCTTCTTACTAGAACTTCATAAAATAACTGTTGAGGCCAGTTACTAGTGAGCACATAGTGGTTATCACCAGAAGGGGGTTTTGTGGCAATTTTAGTGATTTAATAGTTGAATTCACTAGTCAATTAAAGCTAGACCATCTTGGAAAACCTGGAAGTACTGGACAGCCGTTTTGTCCTAGTATGGAACACATGAATTCAATTATTAAATTACTAAAATTTCCAAAAAACCCTCTTCTGATAATATTTCTTTCTCAATAAAATGTTATCCACATCTTTTTGTTGCATAGCTGTAGTATCCTGTTTTAAGTTTATTTGACTATTATTAAGATTCGTCTTCATATCAAACTTTTGTCCTTTGTTATAATTTATTACGTAATCTATGAATGTTATAAATGCGTATCTCAGTTCATTCGTTTTAATAACTAGTACTATCTGAATAACAATCATTATATCCATCTCATCTATCGATTATCTTGTTATTCATTATCCAAAATGTCACCATTTGATTCGTATCTGTTTAAACCTTCTTGTTTGTCATAGCTTAATCCAGAACAGTGGTGATAAACTATATAAATATACATATTTCTCTGCTTTATTTGCCCTTATTTATGTGGAAATGTTCTAAAACTTGTTTCTGTATATTGAGATCATCTGAAATGTTTCTTGAATAAGATGAAACACTCTTTTTTTCAACTTCATTATGAACCTTTAAAAGAACAAAGTTTTTAGCATTTAGTTAGCGAGGTTTTTTACACTTCATGACTACTACCCCTACCCTCCACATTCATCCGGTTTTGGGAGGTCCAATAACCCTAGAAGAACTCCAGGTGATGTTTTGAAATGAAGAACATAAACAGTACACATTGTTTATTTTTTTTTTTAAAAAAAAAAGAACATCTGTGTCAACAGTATTTGATAGAATTAGCATTGAATACAAATAAATTAATTACTCTTTCCTTGCCATCGACAAGTGAAATGGACTTCCTTCATAATATTAAACTACTTACAATTTAGTAGAAAGGGTTTGTAGATTATAAAATAATCTGTTTATATTGAAACTATAGGAAATTGCCGAGAGTTTTTTATGCGGGTTAGTTTTAAACTTTCAGATGGTATTAATCATAAATCGACATTTGTTAGAGTATTAATAAACACCGGATATTACCTGACAATTGTTTATGCCTTCCACATACAAACATTACTAAAAACATAATATATATATACTGACTAACGAATGGATTTAGAATATATAGGAAATGTCCAATTATTTCCGAAAAAGAATTTAGTAGAAGACTCATAAATGGGGATAATCATTTTAAAATTGTAAAGTTTCTTCAAGTATTACTCTTGCATATTCATTAAAATTTTGTACTCATGTATATCTCTAGGATTTATAAAAAGAAAGAAGAGTCACAAATGTCTTAGAAGTTAAGAGATGACGATTTTTAACAAAAGGGATACTACCCCTATCTCAGGGCCTGAAAATGATCTCGGTGGTCTAGTAATAGTATTCCGACACCAGACAATGGGTTTTAAGCGTTATTTAAGCCCTAACGCTTCAGGCTGGGCTATTTCGTTTACTACCCTACATATGTGTTGTATGCAGTATAAGCTATATGGCTATGTAAAGCTGAAGGTCTCATATGAGGCTGGAGGTTCGCCATTGATATTGTGGATTGTTAGGTATTACTTTGAAAAATTTGACTGACTGTTCATGCACAAAATTGGTTTGTTGGTCAACCTATTTCATTTATACTGGTGGTTGCTTTTCAGTGTTCTCAAAGGCCACTGTCATTGGGACATTTTAAGGCATGTCGCTATTGCTAAAATTAGTGAGTTTGACTGTTGTGTAGGCGGAAAAGGTCAACTTTCGGTTGTTCGTGCTGTGCATAATTAATTCACGCGACCATTGATCAGAATAACTACACATATGGCGTTAATGTATATAGGAATGGTCCATCAAGGTGCTTAATACCTGGGTGCTTGCGCCACAGGATTAAGCTGTACTATTCATATTGTAGCGTTAAAACTTATACGGTGTCTGGTTCTCCTATGTAGCGGGATTGAGCTGTACTGCTCGGGTTATAAAATTTAAGCGTGGGCGGTGTCTGGCTTTCCTGTTAAATGAGATTGAGTTGCACTATTTCGCTTGTTATGTGAAAGTCTGGATGGTGTCTGGTTCTCCTGAAAACTAATATAAAATTACCCTGGCCCACAAGGGTATATTATATAACTATGAATAAACTGATTGATCCTTCCAGTAGTCATATGCTTGTCTCAGAGATTAAGTCATGCATGTCTAAATAAGTACATACCTTAGATTTTTAACAAAAAATTTGTTTGAATAAAACAACTCCATTACTCTATTTTATTTATCCAAAAAATGATTTCATTTGAATAAGATATAAATAGTTTTGTAAGTTGATTATCTACTATCAAATCAAGTCTACTTTAGTCACCTTAGCTATTGAACTAATAATATTAATCTCTAAGCTTTATTAAGAACCATTCATAAAAGTGTAGTTTAGTGGAGAAGATTTGTAGCTCAGGTGGATGATTTTGGTGGAGTTTCGTTCTCTGAGCTGGACAGAGGACAGACAGAGGAAACTCAAAAAACACCAGAGAATTTTTAGAAGCCTGGCACTCAGGTCAATCAGCAATCAACAAGCATATTGAAATCAATCCAATTTACCAACCAATCAGAAAAATCATGCACAAATATGGGGACAAAAATCAAACCAATGGGAGACATAACCAAAACAAATAAGTAAACAATGACAAATTTAAGGTGAATAAGAACCAATCAACATCAAGGTGCACAGAACAAGCTGTGAAACACATATGGAGAAATTCGAACACTTCACTTCTACCTGAAGTTTGTGCTGATGATGTAATTCAGAAGAACGATGAAAGCTCCACGACCAAACCATCCAGCTCAGAGAACAAAACTCCACCAAAAAGTGTAGTTTAGTTTTTACAAATGTTTTGCAGTAATATTAAAATATCAATTAATGTATACTTATACTTAACTTATTCAATTTATTCATAGATGTGCAACTGGTGAAAATTGGCAAGAAATTATGCTCGATTGTGCAGCTGGTAAAGAATGTGAAGGTTCTGGTGAATCATGTGGAAGCTCATATACATATTTATATTTTTCAACATTTAATTTTTTATGCTCATTTATCATGTTAAATTATTTGTAGCTGTTATTATGGATAATTTTGATTATTTAACTAGAGATTCTTCTATATTGGGTCCACATCATTTAGATGAATTTGTTCGTGTTTGGGCTGAATATGATCCAGGTGCTACGTAAGTTGAATATATGTAAATAGATGAAAGTTGTCGGTATTTTTAAAACTAATTACCTTGGAAACTATCATCAGATACGTATTGTTTTAATTTTAAAAAATGTTCAGCATGTTTACAAAATGATCTACATTTTTTCGTGTACAGTATGTTCTGAATCAAGAAAATCTACAACTCAATTATATAAACATACTTTTTAAAATTCTTTTGAATGATCTTACAAATTGTGGTTCCAGATCAGTTTTAACTTCAGGAATCCTAGTGACATTCTTTAGATTACTTAATTAATTTTTTACCTCAATAGTTACCATCACGCCATTACGCCCTATTGTTGGACTTCTCAGCAGTGAGTATCCACGACCCCACCTCTCCGGATTCGAACACAGGACCTACCAGTCTCGCGCGTGAGCACTTAACCACTAGATCACTGAGTTGGCATCCAACGGTGTTAATGTCCAACTTCAACTAATCCACGAAATTGAGCGACACATCCATCATTGTCATCAGTGAGTTAGTATCTCACAACTGACCAGGCTGAACTCCACTGGTCACTGCTTCTCACTAGAACTCCAGGATAAAGCTCTTGAAGCCAGTCACTAGTGAGCACACAATGATTATTATCAGAAGGGGTTTTGTGGAGATTATAGTAATTTAGTGGTTGAATTCGTTAGTCAATTGAATCTAGATCATCTTGGAAAACCTGGAAGCACTGGAAAATCGTTTCGTTCCATCAAGGGACTCCTCAGGAGTGCGCATTCACGACCCCACCTCGAGGGATCCGAACCCAGGACTTATTGATCTAGCACACGAATGCCTAAGTCAAGATGATTATACGATTAAACGTTTGTCAATAAGAACCTCAATCAAAATGATATTCTTATAGAATTATGCAAACTGATGAATGATTTAAAAAAACGAATGACATGTGCGAATCATTTAGCCTATTTCACAGAACGTAGCAAATACTTAAAAGATAGCGAGTAAACCGTATTGTATATCGTAAACGTAGCTGTGGTGTATTAAAAAATCACGGTTGTTAAATTTAAGAGTTTCTATCATTTAGTGAAAGAAATGATGATTAGTATTGTTTTTGGTCTGCTCATAAACAATCTCAGCTTAGTTTTAAGTTCACAAACAGTAGCTATCTACGCGAACATTTGTAGTACAATTAATATTTATGCAAAAACTACCTATAATGAATGAAACCTTCGGTATTTCAAAGATGATACGAAAAATAATTGTAGTTAAATTGAGTAAAGATTCTCAATTTCATCTGGTGACCTGTTACGTTCGTAAGATTGCATTACAAACAAATTACAGCAATATTAAGGTGAGGATATACTTCAATTTCGTTCTTAACTTTGACCTTGCACCTGGTAACCAACCAAAATGAAGCGAACATTAATATTCACACTGTTTTAATCCACGATAAAGGTCATGTTTCATTCTCTATCGATTTTGATGGTCTACATGTAAATTGTAAATTTTTGTACGAAGCAAATATCACTCCATTATGCTACGGACGAGTTAAGTGTTGCACACAGTCATGATGAAAGAAAAATTGAAAATTAGCAAAGTTCATAACTACATTTAATTCAGTGATAAAAAGTACTCCAAAACATATACAACTGAGTGACTGAATAAACGAAAACATAACCGTAATTACTGAATACGATACACTTTGATGACTTGATAACGCTGAGTTTATTCTCAGTCCAATATTTTAGACATAACGATGCCGAAATATCATAATAAAACTTTATGAGTTCGGTTATTTGCTGTTTCACAAGCTAACACCCATTTTTTATTAATAGTACGTTTAGTAGAGTGACAGATATATACATATATATCAGTAAATGGATGAGGGGAAATAATATACAGTAGCGTTATCAATGGATTCAGTCAGTCAGTTAGCTGCAATGTAGGACCAGGCACATATATTCATCGATCTAAGTTGCCATACCTCATTAGCACAACAAGATGTATACCAGACTCATTACTTACTTACTTACTTACTTACGCCTGTTACTCCTCGTGAAGGAGCATAGGCCACTCACCAGCATTCTCCATCCAACCCTGTCCTGGGCAATCCTTTCCAGCTCCGTCCAGTTGTAATTCATCCTTTTCATATCTGCTTCTATTATCCGACGCAATGTGTTCTTTGGCCTTCCTCTTTTTCGCTTCCCTTCAGGGTTCCAAGTTAGGGCTTGCCTCGTGATGCAGTTTGACGATTTGCGTAATGTATGTCCTATCCATTTCCATCGTCTTTTCCTAATTTCTTCTTCAGCTGGAAGTTGGTTTGTTCTCTCCCACAGAAGGCTATTGCTGATGGTATCCGGCCAGTGGATGTTGAGTATCTTGCGTAGACAGCTATTTATAAATACTTGTACTTTCTTGATTGTGGTTGTTGTAGTTCTCCAAGTTTCAGCTCCATACAGTAGAACTGCCTTGACGTTCGTATTGAAGATTCTCACTTTGATATTGGTTGAAAGTTGTTTTGAGTTCCATATGTTCTTCAATTGTAGGAATGCGACCCTTGCTTTGCCGATCCTCGCCTTTACGTCTGCATCTGAACCTCCTTGTTCATCGATGATGCTTCCTAGGTATGTGAAGGACTCTACATCTTCCAGAGTTTCGCCATCAAGAGTGATTGGATTGCTGTTCTCCGCCTTGAATTTGAGGACCTTGGTTTTCCCTTTGTGTATGCTGAGGCCTACTGATGCAGAGACTGCTGCTACACTGGCTGTCTTCATCTGCATCTGTTCGTGTGTACGTGATAGGAGGGCTAGGTCGTCTGCGAAGTCCAAATCGTCTAATTGATTCTGAGCTGTCCATTGTATTCCGTGTTTTCCTTCAGATGTCGAGGTCTTCATAATCCAGTCGACCACCAGAAGAAAGAGGAAGGGAGAGAGTAAACAGCCTTGTCTGACTCCAGTCCTTACTTGGAATGCATCTGTCAGCTGTCCTCCATGCACTACTTTGCACTGTAGTCCGTCGTATGAGTTCCGGATAATGTTGACAATCTTCTGAGGAACTCCGTAGTGTCGAAGAAGTTTCCATAATGTCCTCCTATCTACACTGTCGAATGCCTTTTCATAATCAATGAAGTTGATGTATAGTGATGAGTTCCACTCAACTGATTGTTCGACGATGATCCGTAGTGTTGCAATTTGGTCTGTGCACGACCGATCCTTACGGAATCCAGCTTGTTGATCTCGAAGTTGGGCGTCTACTGCATCCTTCATCCGGTTCAGCAACACTCTGTTGAAGACTTTCCCTGGTATTGACAGTAGTGTAATGCCTCTGTAGTTTTCACATTTGCTCAGATCTCCTTTCTTTGGAATCTTGACGAGGTGTCCTTCTTTCCAGTCCATCGGCACTTGTTCCTCCTCCCAAATCTTTTTGAATAGAAGGTAAGCATGCTTGTGGTTGCTTCGATGTCTGATTTCAGTGCTTCAGCTGGTATGTTGTCGGGTCCTGCTGCTTTCCCGTTCTTGATTTGTCTGACGGCCATTCTAATTTCTTCCGTCGTTGGTGGGTTGACATCTATAGGAAGATCTATGTGTGCTGCTTCGATGTCCGGTGGATTCATTGGAGCCGGCCTATTCAGGAGTTCCTCGAAGTATTCCACCCATCTGTTACGCTGTTGTTGAATTTCGGTGATTGGCTTGCCTTCTTTGTCTTTGACCGGCCTCTCTGGTTTACTGTATTTCCCTGCTAGTTTCTTCGTTGTATCGTGAAGCTGTTTCATATTTCCTTCTCTAGCAGCTTTTTCTGCCGTCGTTGCTATCATTGGTGGGTGCATAACATTGGATGATATTCATTAAAATCCCCTCCTTCTTTGTTTTGAATGATGCTTTGATGATTCTGGATCCGTGAGATTCCCATCCTACAAGTGCATTTCGTGCTACTTTGGACAGCATTAGAGCGACTCCCTGAGTGTGTGGAGGATTTTCCTCTTGGTGACCGGAGTATAGCAGCATCTCTCCCGTAGCTAGCCTTTTCTGTCCAGCTTGGATCCAGTGGGTTTCGCTGATTCCCAGTACTGCTAAGTTGTATCTCCAAACTCATAGAAATAGTTAATTCAATGGTGTTCATATATATATATAAGAAAGATTACATTATCAAAGGATTAATAACAGATAGTCATGTTGAACCATTGTATTTTACTTATCTGCATAAAATTGCATTAAAACAGCATAAAAAAGTTTGTATTTATTCATCTAAATTGTAATATAATTTTTCATGTACACGTACATAGATTATGAAATATTCTGTTCCATATTTACAGAGATAAACAAACAAGGTACATGAATATGTCTAGTAGTAATTACAATTATGTCTCTTTATATAAATTAATTGAGTGAGATATGAAGTAACATGAGTAGTTGAAATGAAATCTGTATAGTTCTACCTTCTAATGTAATTTATTCAATATATACATAAACACCGTATCGTTTTAGTTCGTAAAGGGAACAATTAAGCGTACTACTCACTAAGAATATTTCAGTAGTTGATCAGTACACAATGTATGTTCTGTAATAATTGAAGGCATAGAAAAAAAATTATTTAAAAATAAATCTATATTCATTATCTAGATTTATATTCATCGACATTTACAGAAAAACGATAGAATAACTCTAAATTATGTATTGTCATTACTGTATACTTTGATACGAAGATAGTACGTGGACTGATTCGTTTTATTTTCCACAGAATAATCAGTCTATATACATTCAACTAATAAGAAAGATAGGAAATGCCAATCATGGAATCATTTAACCATGAAGAAAGAATATGATGTGTAACATTATTCATAGTAGAAATAGTTACATAATTGACTGAAGACAGATTACCAATGATGCTTGAAAAAACATCATCAGTCATTAGTAGTCTGATGATATGTAAATGTATAAGTTTGAATTCCATGAACATAATAAAAACAGATTACAATTAGCAACTAACTTAATACTGACTATATCCAACTACTTAAAATCAAAATCTATTAGTTATTATCTTTATATAGTTTTAATTTAATTTCTGTATACAGAACTTATAAATCTTTTGTATTTGAATTGGATATTATGTTTCATAGAGGTCTTATTCATCATCGTGATGTGTATGAAATGCTTAGAAACATGGAACCACCAGTTGGATTTGGTAAAAATTGTCCATATCGTTTAGCTTATCGAGTAAGTTTCTTATCATTATGTTTATTCTTAGTTTGTTTACCTTGTTTTTTTTTTCTGTTTATTAAAACAAAACAATAAAACTTGGACTTATATACATCAGAAATATCAAATGGGGAAACATTATACGTTCAGTTAAAGTTTGACATTTGTGTATTTCTATTTTCTTTTTTCTTATTCCTTGTTGAAGTTTATATTCAACTTTTAACTAAATCAAAATATAACATCATAAACTTTCATAGTATATAAATATAGACATAGATTTATATAAAAGTAGCTTTATGAAAACAAACGATTGAAACAATAATTCAAGTAACTACTTCCCAATCATTTAAATTTGTTAAATCCAATTGAGTATAGAAACAAATCAAGCATATTCACATGATTACATCAGGAAAAAAATCTATATATATATATATATCTAAGCAAATTTGTCGTGAAAACTATCTGAATGATTAACGAGAGAGAGAGAATGTGGGGAGGGTGGTGGGAATAGTTTCCTTTTTTTACTGACGTAATACAATATTAGCTATTAATCAAAAGATTCTGTTTTTGTTTTGATTTTTGTGAAAGAAAAAAATGTCAGTTGAGTTACAATTCTTATCTTAAATAGAATATCTATATATCTACATATGATAATAGATAAAGAACTTATAATTGTAAATACTGATTTAAATGAATAATTAAATTTGTCAGAAGGGGTTTTATGGAGATTTTAGAAGTTGCACTGATTGAATTCATGAATGAATTGAAGCTAGACCACCATCGGAAACCTGAAAGCACTGGACGGCCGTTTACGTCCTAGTATGGGACTCCATGATTAAGCGCCTGGCGTGAGACTGATAGGTCCTGGGTTCGAATCTCGCGGGGTGCGGGATCGTGGATGAGCACTACAGAGGTGTCTCATACTAGGACGAAACGGCTGTCCAGTGCTTCAAGGTTTTCCATGGTGGTCTAGCTTCAATTGATTCATGATTTCAATCAGTGAAATTAGATTTGTTTCATTTATCAAATGTTTTTATCAGTGATAATTTCAAACAAACAAAAAGTTGATTTTTTTATTTTGTTACGGAGAAGGAGTTTGTTTTCGTTTTATGGATTACTTTTGTTGATAAATATCTTGACAACTATTCTATCCCGAAATAGTAGATTATGTTATCATCATGATTGGACTGTATCAATGAAAACTTATCACTATAAATCTGTCAAATAAATAAATAGTATATATGGAGTATTTACGTGTCTTGGTGATAAAATAAAATATTCTGTATGAAGATTTTTTTTCAGTATAGAGGTTGTGGAGATTATTGAGTTTTTGATTGAGATCATGAACCGAATGATGTTAGACCACCATCGGAAACCTGGAAGCACTGGACAGCCGTTTCGTACTAATGTAGAACTCCTTAGCAGTGCGCATCATTATACCATTATTATATATAATAAAATACAAGTTGAATACACTATGAAGCTAATTATATATATATATATATATATATATATATATATATATATATATATATATATATATATATATATATATATATATTCTGAAGATAATAATAACAGAATTCACTCGAGTTTACAGGCATGATCAATTTGATATAAATAGTAACATTAGATGAAGAGAACACACCTGTGATATAAGATTGTTTTAAGTATACTAGTTCAGTAATTAGTTAGGTAGTACATGTATTACAGCGATCCAGTGTATCAGCCGGCAACTTTTAATTTTTCTTCAGTGATAAACCTGTTGATTTATGACCGGTGTATTTAAGATCATTTCCTGTATCAGAATGAATTAATGATAATTATCTACAATTAGAGAAAGTAAAACGAAAACAGAGAGCATGGAACAACAAAGCAATAATTACCAAAATATGTTAATCAGGTCTATCATGATTCATGTGTCATGTGACATACTGTTGATATTAGTTATTATTCAAATTAGTTAAGGTTTCTAGGGCGAGTGTTAACGTAACGTGACAGTAAGTAGGTGGTTTTACTTACGGAATTCACTAATAATAATGGCTAAACATTTAAAGTTCCTATAATATCACTTACAGGTGCTACAACATTGAATGCATTTTCAGAGGAATGTAGAGAATGTTTTTGGGAGATCATATATTATTATAGTGATCTAGATGCCTTTACTATAGTATCATTATGATTGATAAAATGAGCTTGGAATATGATTGCATCTGATATTATTTAATATCTCACTTTGTTTTAATTGATTTGAATGTTTTAACAAAATTTGGTTGACTTGCACAAAGAAACATGTTTTGTTTTAAAATCTTGTTGTTATATATCAATCCTTATGATGATGTTCTGTCTAGTATAGATTTTAATTAGTCAGGGAGGCAATAGTAAGACTATGGAAAATTAAGGAACTTGGAACAGTTACTTCATTATAATTTGAAATTCTTCAGCATTCTACTCCGAGATGAATAGTTATATTGACCTCCAGCTATCACCAATACATTCAAAATGAAGAACTTTTTAGTCGTCGAAAATACGGAGTGCCGACGTTCCTTCATCGACGTAGCTTGCTGCGTTGCGCTCGTCGTCGGCGGGCTCACCATTCTAGGTGGCCCGTAGATCTGACTCCAAGATCGTATAAATGATTGTTATCGCCTATTCTCGTATATCATCGTCGACTTAAATCGCGTTATCCAATAACGGAATTAAATAAGTCGAATAACGAGAATTGACTTGAGAATAAATATATTTCGTACATGAAGCGAATGAAACATAGCAAGGCAAAATGACACGCAGGGAAGATGGCTGGGAAGCCAACTCAATTTTAATCAAGCGTTACTCAATATTTATAGTCAGACAAAATAAAGCTACAGACATGTGATTAATGGAATAAGAAGGGCACACACATATACGCTCATATCAAAACAGTCTAGATTGATAATCGAATAAATAACAAGGTCAAAATATGACTCAAGTAGAATGAATAAAATGGGATGTCCGGAAGCTAGAATAAGGTATATGGGCTTAACATAATAACTGACACTACAACTTAAATATAGAATTAACATCAAGGAATCGAATTCAGACGGACTTCAAAATGGTAATATGAACTTGATGAAGAAATAAAAATTCAAAGCAAACTGAATGATCTAAATGCTTTAAAAGCAACGAGCTGAATTTCTTAATCTAACTAAAATGTTGATGATTACTGTATTAAATTTTCAGATCTTTACACGATATGATCTTATATAGGTTGAACTAGGAGATATATTCACAAATACTTGATAAATTGATTAGAAATTAATAAGGCAGATCGTGCTTATGATTATGACTGAATTTGATACAATTCTGATATACCTGTCATCACTCTTAACCATGTAGATTGATCACCCATATTCGCTTGCACACGTTTTTGTGAAGTGACCAATGTATTGAAATTTAACATAACAATCTATGCTTTCGTATTTCTTCTCCATTATTTATCTACTTTAAACTGACTATTCATACATAGTCTTCTTATTCCTTTATTTTCCTGATTATTATTTTGATGTTTATTTTCCTAAATCTTGACCTAGTTCCACCATTAGATTATTTATTCAAGCACTTATAATTAATCTTTTTACTGTCAGTACACTTCTAATCTTCGATATGATGGAGAAAACTTGCGGCTCAGGTGGATATTTTGAAAGCTAGACCACAAGGAAAACCTGGAAGCACTGGACGGCCGTTTCGTCCAACTATGAAGTTAGACATTAACACCGTTGGATGTTGGCTCACTGGTCTAGGCGTTAGGCGATTGCGCGCGGGACCGAATCCCGTGAATGTGATCGTGGAATCGCACACTAGCTCGAAGCGGCCGCCCAGATCTTCCAGATTTACCATGGTGGTCTAGCTTTAAGTGACTCATGAAATCAACTATGAAATTACTACAATCTCCAAAAAACCCCTTTCTGATAATAATGATACTTTAATTACATAGCTTTAATTGTCGTTCTGCACAACTTCAGGGAGTACTTCATGTAGAAGTGATCTGCTCATTTACTTCATAAGCCGGACAAATACTCCATTTTATGAAAAATATCTCAAAAATCACAATCAAAATTCCATAAATTAAAGATGTCACTTCATTCCATTTTATGTACGCCAAAATTTATAACTGTGAAAAATGACGAACGCAATATCATCTACAACGTAAGTTTTAGATGATGAAGATAAATACTACACAAATTCTGTGCTTTCTTGAAACGTATACACACAAAAACGCGAAGTATCAGGGAAACTAAACGATGTGTTGTTTCTTATATAAATGAATTAAGTAACTACGGACATGGATTGGAAAGAGAAGACGTTCGGTTATTTAAGATTGTCAGAGACATTTTGGAAGCATGGCAGTTAGATTAATCAGCAATCTGTAGATACGCTGACTTAGAACCAATCTATCAATCTATCCCCAAAAAAGGTTAATCAACAGCTTTTCCAAAGGATAATGAAACAAATGAGTCACCGTAAATACACAGATAAATAAAAACAATTAAAACTGAGAGAACAGGGTGAACAGAATAAACCAATTTAAGGCTCCTCTTCACATATGCATCAGATTCACCGTGTTCATCAATGATGCTGCCCAGACATGTAAAGGTTTTTGCATCTTCCAAAGCTTCTCCGTCAAGTGCGATTCGATTGGTGCATGCCGTATTGTATCGTAGAATTTTGCTTATAGCCCTTGTTGGGCTACTGCTGGTCCTAAGCCCGGATAAAGAAGGAGGGTTGGGCATGGGGTTAGCGACCTAATCCCTTAGAAAACTAACACGCTAAAAAAAACGCTAACCAGACAAAGTAACTCAAAAACAACATAACAGTTGTAAAAACATTTACAAGTAATTAAGGTATTAAGGCATAAAAATTTAAGTTTGAAAAGTAATTGTTTTATTTACTATTCAAAATTTAGGAAGACAAATTGCTTTCCGTTAAATTCTTCATTCTTTTCAACTTCATTCACTATTGACAAAATTAATTTATGCGGT